CTAGAAATCAGTGGTTAAGTTGTATTTACAACACTGTTCCAGAACAGTTCAACCCAAATATTCAGATGTGTGCTGCTCATTTTATGGAGGATGGATGAGGACTGTTTCCTGAACCAGTAGCCTAATGCATCTGTGGCACAAAGGCTGTTTCTATAAAGTTGGGCAGTTCCAACTTTGCAAGGACAGTCTGGTGCAAGGGTGTAACTTTGGTTTGAGAAGTGGGGGGGACACACAATGGGGGAAAATGTTTTCGATTTGAATCCCATTTCCTGCATGTACATACATTTAGGGACTATGGTGATACAAAATCCAGGAAATAATTAAGTTGATTAATGATCAATTCTGGCAAAAAGAATAGTAGGCTACTAAACTATGTATAAGAAAAAGATGTCTTACTTTCTTTATTGTTTAATAGGGGCCGATCGCCAAAACTTGAGAGAATCGTTTTATAAAGTCGAAAATGTTCACCATTAATGTTTAAATAATGTGAGACTCAATTTCCACTGTTAAACAAACTTTTATTTCAAACTAACCACTGTACCTAAAAATATATAAAATAAATCACTTGTTGCACAGGACAGAATGTTCTACATCAGTGGTTCCCAGACTTTTTAGAGTGGAGTACCCCCTGAGGCATTTCTGCTATCAATTCTGCCAAAAAGAATAGTAGGCTACTAAACTATGTATAAGAAAAAGATGTCTTACTTTCTTTATTGTTTAATAGGGGCCGGTCGCCAAGACTTGAGAGAATCATTTTATAAAGTCGAAAATGTTCACCATTAATGTTTTGAATAATGTTTAAATAATGTGAGACTCAATTTCCACTGTTAAACAAACTTTTATTTCAAACTAACCACTGTACCTAAAAATATATAAAATAAATCACTTGTTGCACAGGATAGAATGTTCTACATCAGTGGATCCCAGACTTTTTAGAGTGGAGTAGCCTACACCCTGAGGCATTTCTGCTTAGGCCTACCCCCTCTCTTCCACTTAGACTGCAGCTTTTCCATTAAAGGACAATATTTGCCCCCTAATTTGACTTTCCAAAGCATTTCTTATCTTTATAAATAGAATATTGATGTTTAAAAAAAAAAAAATGTTCAATAGATTAATATGCAATGATGAAAAAAAAATGAAAAGTGATTCTTTTAAATACTAAAA